ATTGAAATAGGGTCATTCATGGTGGATGGCTACCTTTGAATCTATCACAATGAAAGTTACTAGAAAACGTATAAGTATAGGGGTTGTTAGGAAATTGTAATTGCCCAACTGGTTGGTCATGAAATATATAAATCAACATTGTGTGTTTGTAGCTAAAAGTATTATGTAGCTTTAAAAACTGTGTTGCATCACCATGCATTCTGATTGGCTGAGCTCTGTAACCAATGTACTTAAGGAAAGCTGAATTATGGTTTGTGTGGACACTACACCATTTTACCTGCTGATATGCTGTAACTCTATATTGATCTCTCTGCATGATCATTGCTTGATCATGGCTATTTATTGCTTTTCTAATATTTATTGACTTTTTATATTGAACTGTGTTCCTGAATGAAACTAAAGAAGATCTGTTTTATTGTATTTTTCTACAGCTGGTAAGAAGTTTTAATATTTGGAAAATATCCCTGGACTGATCTTTATCTCACTTTATATGTGTATGACTTGGATTGTTTTTGGACTATGATTTTGCTTTTGCCCTAAAAGTAAAATACTATCAAAACCCAATTTGTTTGTATGTGAACTGTTATTATCCACAATCATTCTCAGTCGCTTTCGTGCGTAAACTCAAAGGGTACTCTGCTCAATAACCCACAACATCGGTTATGAGCCAAGAATATCCTTAACAGGGGTGAGCAAGGAGAAAATTATGGAACATGCATCACAGTGTCAATAGGCAAACCTCAAACCTATAAACTTGCATCTGTCTGTCATCCTTATCTGGGGCTGGGGTGGGGGTGAGGTTATTATTATTTTATTAATATATAGCCAGAGGCTCAAAAAGAGTGGGAATTTTATTATGACCTATGCATCACCACTTTTTCATCATTGTGACAAGCTGAAGGCAGCTAGTTAGTAAATAACATAATTTACCAAGTAGCAGATTCTAAATGAAAGCTGGCAAACCTTTTAGAGCAAGGACTGCATAACATCTTTAAGGAGGTCTATAGAGCAGGAAGGGTCAAATCACCGCATAATTGGGAAGGCAGTATTGAAGAAATCTTTAACTGCACTGTAATATGCTTTAACTACATTACAAAATGACTTTTTCAGGTTTCTAATACAGTTTTTATATATTTATATATTTTCAGAATGACAGGAAACCCTTCTATTCATTTTCAGCAGTTACAGTGAAGAGGCTCTAAGAGCTATAAAAATGGAACTTTTGTTACAGATAATGGAACCAGACAGAAATAAATTTGACCTAAGAATATTAATGTCATAGAGTGATTGGATCCAAAGATAGTTGTCCACTCATGGAAAGACCCCTTGTAATAGTCAAAGGCTCCTTTCATGAGTGAAGGATTTGTCTGGACTTAATTTTCAATACACAATAATGCAATTTTTAAAAACATGGAATATATTTATAACATTAATCTGCAAAAGTAGTCAAAAAACAAATGATCAAGTTAAGTAATCAAAAAAGATACAGAAAACAAGTGAATTACGAAGATTCTAGGAGTGTTTTACAAACTGGAAATAAACAAAGAAAGAGCATTACATCATAGGAATGTTAAGACAGGAAGTGATGGAACAGAAAGGAAGGAAATAAATTAACATCTACAAGGAATGAGACAGACAGTACACTTTTCCTTCATGGTATGCTAATATAGAACCAAATCAGCCCTTCTTTATGACATATCATTGCACAGTTACTAGAAAGATACATATACCATATTTTTTGAAGTAGAAGATGCACTTTTTCCCCTCCTAAAAGGCTGAAAATTTGGGTGCGTCTTATACTCCGAATGTAACCTCACGTGTGGTGCCCAAAATGGCTACCCAGAACAGCTGCTGCCTTCTCTTACCCCTTCCGCGCTTTGCCTACTTTAGTCACTGGAACTCCTTCCGAAGATCAGCTGTGCTTTTGAAGCTGTTTTCAGCCCCAACGCAAGCGAAGCAATCTTCCGTGCTTTGCCTGCTTTTCTAATTGCTGCTCCCTCCGACAATCAGTTGTGCTTTAGAAGCTTTTTTAGCCCCAACCAGCCTCAACCTCAAAACCAGCAAGGGAACTAATGTGCTGAAGCTGACCAGGCTAAGGACTAGCCAGATGAATACCTGGTAGGCAGATTTTTTTTTCCTATTTTCTTCCCCAAAAACTAAGGTGCGTCTTATACTCTGGTGCGTCTTATACTCCGAAAAATACGGTAAGTGATGATTGCTCCTTAGAGAACGTTATTAAGCGTAACTTAAAATCAAAGAACTCCCTGTGGAATAAGTCTTTGAAAGTTAAACAAAGATAGCAATAGCACTTAAGACTTATATACTGCTTCACAATGCTTTATAGCTCTCTAAGAGGTTTACAGAGTCAGCATACTGCTCCCAACAATCTGGGTCCATTTTATAAAGCTGAGTCAACTTTGAGCCGGTGAGACTCGAATTGCCAAAATGCTGGCAGTTGGCAGTAAGCAGAAATAGCCTGCAGTACTGCATTCTAACTACTGTGCCAAGATGGTTCTTCTTCCAATATTCTTGACTTTAATGCTATACCTCAAACTTTACAAAATAAGATGACATATTGTGTCTTGCTCTTTAGATAAAATCCATAGATCAGAGAAACCAGTTATTGTACTGAATTTTTAGTATCTGTACTAGTAACTAGTTACTGTACTAGAATTTTTAATCTGCTGAATTCGTGTATAATTTTTTTCAGTGCTGTTGGAAGCCACTTTGGAACAACAAAATAAAATGTTTTCAATAAACACATGTAAATGAGCCTACATCAAACAAGAATACTGCTTATTAAACCATTCAACTTCTTGTGGGTTGGTGTCCTTCAGTTCAATTTGCAGAACGGTGACATTTACAATATGTAGACAAAAGTATTAAAATAAAAATTATTGGGGATGGTGAGAACATTCTTGATATGTTTTCAAGAAGGAATGGGAGAAAGATGCATATTATTCAGTAAATGTTTTCCACTGTTGCTAAGTCACCCCTCCCCTTCTGCTTATCAATGGGACCTTTCAAGACTCCTTCTCCCAATTGGAGACATCATTTCCTGTACAACACACTAATCCTATTGATAACTTTAGTTGATGGGAACTTTTCAAACCTAACAGGAAAGTCTAGGAGACTTGCAGGAACACAGACAAGGCTGGGGGTGGGGAAAGTTGCAAAAGTTTAATAAAAAGAAAGTACTTGAAAGTGAAGGAGATAATTATTTTTTAAAAAGTGTAATCAGATGAAGAGGAACCAATCTTCTTTGCATCTACTTCAGTTTAGGAATGCTGAAGGGAATATAATGGAGGATTTGCCTTCTCAAGTTTTATAGAAATCTTAATAAGGGTTCATGAGTTGGGGTCATAAAACTAAAAAAAAATGATATACATTTGTGAGAAATGCCAAATGTCTCTATGTAAAAGTAAAAAAAAAGAATTATTAGAGTTGCTTAGCTCTTTGGACAGCTGTTTCCAAATGAACTTTCCTAAAGGGACAATGAAAGAAGATGCTCCAATATTTTTTTATCTTAATACTTTTGTTATTACATATTGTGGGACTGAGTTCATATTAATTCCATTTTTCAAGCTCAATATGATGAATGCAACCAATATTCCGCCGATATGTCTTTGATGTTTCCATCCAACCACAGAAGCAATTGCAAACTACATTGGTTTAAATTCCGAGGAGACAACATGCCTTTGCCATGTTTATCTGATAGCGATCAAAGTTTCCTCAAATCTGTAATCTAACCAACTATTGTATGTATTACCAGAGCTCCATTGATTTTTTCTCATGAGTCACATCTTAGTTATTTCCTGTTTCCACAGAAATAAATAAAGCTACAGTGACTCGATTAAGACATATCACTACTGATTTTACTAACAGTGATCAGCTTTTTTATTTAATTTCTGGATATTCATAATGGATATTAAGACAACCTTGTATCTTCTCAGAGGGATTTTCCATGTCAGTCATTCTACCTCTCCTCCTTCATGAGGAAGCAAACTCGGCAAAGCTGCGCATGGCATGGCATCCCTAGATTAAATGCCTCTTGACAAAAAACACTTTTCTAATAAGCATTTTAAGGTATAATTGCACACATGAATAGAAGAAACAAATACAAAATTAGTAAGATAGAACAAGAGGATACATTCAAGTGTGTCTTTCAACCCAGTGAAATATACAAGCAAAGTAATTTTTAAATCAGCTGCTGACACTGTGAATCCAGGGAGCAGAATTTTCATCTGTTTCCCCAGCCAGTTTTTTCTCATCCCCTGTTGGCCTCCATTATTTTCTGTTCAATTACCCTATAAATGAGAGCATGTGAGAGAAACCCAAAATATTGAAAAAACTAATGTTGCTGCCTTAAATGATCCGATCACTACAAATAATGAAATTATATTCTGGAAGAGGCCCCTTTCAGCTGTGAAACTCAAGCTACTGTTCCCACTGACCATCTGCTCTCATCCCCCTCCCAATCAACTACTTGTTATTAGTTCAAATTTAGATAAATATACTCAATGCTGCTCTAAAGCTAATGAATTCTGATTATATTGAATCCTTTGGAAATGGCTTCGTGCTGAACATGAGTATATACAGGTCAAAAAAAGGAAGACCTCAAGGAAGTCGGTGGGAGAGACAGAAGATAACCAATACATACTATCAGCAGAATCACAAACAAAAGGAAGTTAAATTTAAGAGGGAAAGTGTTAGAGTCTCATGGGACATATTCTCTCCACAATGAAGGAAGAGGATACAGAGTTTCCCACAAGGAAGACTATAGAACCATGTAGTTATGCAAGCCCTTTCTCCATGAGAACCAAAGCAACTTCTCTCAAAGAGTATTTTCAAGTATTCTGGAAGCAATTTCAGCAACAATGCAAAATCTGCAGTGAGCTGTGATAATATTAGATTCAAATCATTATTAACAGCTCTAAGAGAGGCTATGTCAATTCTATACATACTGTCTCCACAAAGAAAAAGCAAAAATTATTCATTACCTGCAAGTCAAAGAATTTGCTATATCTTCGGTAGACTGTCTGGCAAGTTGTGTCCGACCATGTTACTTTGATTATATATACCTAGAATTACAGAACAAACAAAAAGAAACATATTATACATTTATTGTATTGTAATTATTTTTATTTCTATGCTACCCTTGTATTATAAGGACTGTACTATAGATATATAGTTCAGTAAGTAAGATCAAAACTGCAGTACTATGAGCTTCTCTAATTCCAATAAAATGACTCTGATTATTTTATTCCCATACTTTGTAATGTTATCCAAAATGTTATCCTGAAATAATTGAATTATCCAACATCACTTGATTTGATCTGCAAAATGGGAAACATTTCCTGTTAAATGTGCTTTGAGGCCAGAGCTCTCTTCTGAAATAAATTGTGTTTAGCATTACACATAGCACCTCTTCCAAAGCTACTGAAATTAAAAATTGGAGATAGAGTGAATGATATAAATTAATATCATAAAATAGTTTAGCAACCTTTTTGGTTATAACTTTTAATTATCTCTTAGATGAATGGTTGTACTCATTTTTCCTATGATTTTTGGTGGATGACATCTTTGACAGTTTTCATTCTTTGATGTAGGAGCAGAAGATCATGGCTATTTCATTTTTGGTTTTCAATGTGATCTGGGATTTGATGCTACATTTAGGTAATCTTATATTAAAATCAAAAAATTTCATGAAGCTTCTTATTCTTCTTCCATATTTTGTTTCAGGTAGCACTAGAAATAGGCAGCTATCTAATTTAAAAATATATTCATGGACAAAAAATCTTAACTATAGGTTTTGGTAAAACTATGGCTAAAAATGCATCAAAGCTGTGGGTCATAGGTTTATATCATGGCAGCACAGCTAAATTTCTGGCTTTTCGGGTGCCAAAATTCATTTTTGTTATTATATTATCCATCATCCCAGATGAAGCCTGAAGCTATGTTTGACAAGCACCTATTTAATCTCGAGACCAGTTTTTCTTGCTGTTGTTGCTGCTGCTCTAAAATTCAGAATCCATAGTTGACTCTGAACATGATTTAGCATGAATTGATGGCACCGTGTAATGGTATATGGAAATGACTTTGAAGACTGGGCAAAATAACACAGCCAAGGGAATGATCAGGAAAAGGTAATTTAGCCCATAGCAGCAATGTGGGAGGGGCAAGAGGGTTAGAAGACATCCTTCCTAGTTTCTTGGGCTGCAAGTTAATGGAAGGGGGCCTATTATTTGGTTGGGTAGTTGGTGGTAGTATGGTAGTTCAGATTGCAAGTTCAAGATTTTGGTCCACTTTCGACTTACTTGCTCAATGTATATAAGACCCATGTTTAACATAGTTAATCTAGTTTATTTCTTACTAAATATAGGAGTAACTTCCCACAACTTCCATATATAACAGTTTAGTGGTGATATTTATTTTTGTTGTTTTTGATTAAAAGTTCTTAAAAGGCTTTTGAACAATATTTTACAATATTAACAATAAATGTGTTATACAGCTAGTCAATGAGAAGCAAAGGAATTCATGATCAGCATGTTAGCTGTTAAGTATTTTTTAGAAGTAGCTTTCAAACCATAAGCGATGTAGCAAGTCCAGTAAAACATCTGATTAACACATGATGATGCATTTCTTTTATTTCTATAAAAGGCACACAAGTAAATAAATTGTGCTGTAACAGGTCACAAATATCCACTTAACGAGCTGCTAAGTGAGAGTTCATCATCAAAATAATTATTTTCTCTGGAAAACATCCAGCTATCCTTGACACTGATCCAGAGAGTCACATGACATCACGTCCTGATGTCAATTCCTACTCTTCTAAAGAGGATACGTGCATCAGAAGGGAAGCACTGCATTAGCAGAGGTCGTAAGTTCCTCTGTTGGAAGATCAAATGCCACTTCCTACACTCAGCAGATCCTCAAATAATCAAAACTAGCAAACTGAAATCATTAGCTAGCTTTATTTAGAAACCTTGTCCTTTCTTATAGTAAAACAGCCTTTCATACTACATGTTGTGAGCCCTGAGTTAGATACCTATTCTGAGATCGTTCTATGACTAAATTGCTTTTTAATCTATTATTTATACTTTTCCAATGATCTTGCAGGAGAGCCTTTTGTGGATTGGAACCTCCAATTCCTATACAAGAGAAACATTTGGGTAAAGTAAAGTGTCAGGATAACAGTCATCAGCATTTAACCTAGGCCCCCCTTTACTTCCTACGTTTGTTTCTGGAGGATAGTTACTATAAAGTATTTACTATTTGAAAACCATTGCCTGCAAAGGGTGAGATCACAAGCGAGCAAATCTGTCAGAAGAAAGCTAAGAGAAATATCTTAGGTTTCTTCTGACAGATTTGCTCACCTGCAATCTCATCCTTTGGAGTCAATGGTTTTCAAATCATGCACCTATGAACTTTAGTAATGTCTTTCACTTACACACCCTACATAATTATGTGCCTATTTTAATTATTCATGGCCATCTAGCGTACATTACACTATATGAACAGCCAATAAATATTTTCATGGTATGACTTGCTCTTACTTAGCAGTATATGTCAAAATATGTTTAAGAATACCTTGCTTTCCTAAATCAGCCTTCCACAACCTGGATGCCCTACAGATGTATGGACTTTAATTTACAGAGTTTTCAGCAATGGCCCAAAAGTGCTTAAGTCAGAGAAGAAGCTCTAGACTGTCCTTTCATAATAACTTTTTTTCCCCTGAGCCTGTCTTAGAGCTTTGGGAAGCCTTATTGTAAAATCTTGTGCAATTTATATGAGTATGAACATCTTCCAGCATTGACTTTTAACCTTGCAACTGAAGTCCAAATACAGTGCCTTGCAAGGGGACCCAGGGCCTGGGAAAGACAAAAGCATATAGTCTCAAAGCTCTTTGGCCACTGTTGAACAATACTGAGTCTCTGGGGGTTTCCGTGTACCATGCAAGTGGAAATTCTTCAAAGGGTATCTTGCTGAAAAGGAGTGTTTCCCCCCCTCTTTCTGAGAAAAAATAAAGTTCATGTAATTTCCAAGACCCCTTGAGGCAGAAAACTCAAAACTACTACTTGTCTTTAACTCTGGACTGTTTACTAAGGGGAAATGTAGCTAGTATGCATCCAATTGTTCTTGCTTTCAGTGTTAACTATTTCAGTCTTTCCTGACCATAAAAGACAAAAGCAGCAAGCAGCAATCACTAGGTAAGCCTTTGATCGCCAACCCCCAACTGTAATAAATCTAGTTTACAAACTAGTGTTAAACACATAGAACAACTCCTCACTGGTAGATGGAGATGGGGTTGAAGAAGAATAATTCACATGTATTTCAAACTTCTATAACTGTCTGACTCTTTTCCAGAAATACTTGACTAAAACAAATATTAGTGAATATTTATAAGTGAAATTTCAGCACAAATGTTTCCAAGTATTACATTTTCTATAGGCTTTTACAAATCACGTTTTGAATAATCTGTCTGTAAGAACATTAATATCCTTCTTTGTTTTGCTTTTTCTCTATCCAGAAAAGGAAGGAGAAGAGTCGAGAGATTGATTGCCTTTGTGTATAATTAGCATGGCATTAACCGCTAGAGGACAAAATGAACCTAAGGATTTGTTATGTTGGCAGCAAGTTGGAGCCCTGGGAAACAGGTTAACCCTTTGTGAGGCCTTTCTGCATAGAAGGCAACTCATCATAAAGTATAAGATGTGCAGGCCTCAAATGATTCTGCAAATGACACATTATATTGAGAAAAAAAAACCTAGGTGTTTTTCCCCCCCAAATAGAATTATGATTTAATCATAATTATCACATGGGATCACATCACAGGAATTCAATATCATGCAAATTTACAATTAAGAAACCATTCCGATGTTGCTTTAAAATATCTAAAAGAGACTTGATTACTGACACACAGAACCTTTTCCAAATCCTCCATCCCCTAAGTGATAGATTACAATTCACATATTCCCAATTTATTGGGTACCAATTATGGGCATGACATCTAAGCTATAGATTATGATAGCTGAAATCCAAACATGTGAAAGGCAACAGTTTGAGGAAGGCTGACGCATTAACATAGAATTGTATTTCCTCTTGCCTCTCCCCTCATCTTTGATGAATTACTGTTGACAGTCTGAAAAGGGTTCCTGTCAAAGAAACTGAAATTATTGTAACTGACTACTTCTGCCATGTAAATGTTAGTTTGCTATCCCACATAAACAAACAAACAAACAAACCAATAAAGCAATCGATCAATCTTGAATATATAGTTCAGAAAATGTAGCTTAATATGATTCCATAACTGTATTTACATAGGGCTCCTCTTCATCAGACTTCCCCTGGGTGGTGAATTGTGAGAGTTAACCTCCACATATCTTCAAGCTGCCAATGTTGAGAAACACTGAACTAAGAGATAAAAATAAAAGTCTTGAGAACGCACAGAAGCTGATTTGTGTGTAGACCTGTTGATATCCAGTTCAATCATTTTCACAACATTCTCTTTTCAAACAAGAATATGTGGTGAATCATTTCCACCCCAGTGTGATCTGAATGGTGAGGCAATCCATGTGAATGAATGGTCCTCATAAGACGAATTGCCACATTGACAACTTCAAACTTCCACATATCAACCATGTGAGACTAGCTGCCTCTGACTTGAGCAAACATTAGCTTGTCATTCTGATTACTCAAGCCAAAGGATGTTTTTTTCCTCTGATAGTTCAACTAAATTACTATCATGTTAATAGCAAAGAAAGAGACACAGAGTATGAACTCTGGAATAAACACTTATTTTCATTAAGTAACACAGATACTAGTTGATAGAAAGCCCTTTTACAGGGACTGCAGCATTTGCCACCTAGAAAAGTCCATTTCATAAACTTGGTATACAGTAGTCTTTGACCTACAACCACAATTGAGACCAAAATTTTTGTTGCTAAGTGAGACATTTGTTAAGTGAGTTTTGCCTCATTTTATGACTTTCCTTGCCACAGTTGTTAAGTGAATTACTGCAGTTGTTAAGTTAGTGACATGGTTGCTAAGCGAATCTGCCTTCCCCATTGGCTTTGCTTGT